TGTAAATGATGTGTGGAGAGCAGAGAAGAGGCAGATATGATTGTCCCCTCTGTGCACTGATTACATTGCAATCACCATTTCCCATTCCAGAACTCACTGTTTTTCTCTAGAGTTAAATTCTTCTCTGAAATAAAAAGCTTTCTTCTTTTAGGAACAGAGCACTTCCTAAGCACTGCAACACAGAATAGGACAAAAGATAAATATTTTTAGTAATAAACATTTTACAGGTTTTAAATTTTTTATATGATCTCTACTTTAAAGTGACAGATGAACTGGTTGATAACCACATCTCAGGATGCAAGAGCATGTTCAACATCAGTGTTGAGACAAATGTAAATGCACATTTCATTTCAGGCATTTCCAAGCCTCTCCAGTAAATGCATGACTTACTGTTTCAATATGGTTACTATTTTACATTGTAGCTATGAAGATATTATAACTTCAGATTCTTCAAAAAGGAAAATATCTTAAGGACTCAATCTGACAAATTCTGCTCTGAGTCAGACAAATTCTACAGGTCTCATCCTTGCCTTCTCACCATGTGTTTGTAAGGGAAAGCAGAATCAGTCCAAGTCCAAGTTTAACCTGCAAAAGGAGCCCACTGCATATATTCACATGAATAGGAAAGGGAAATAAATGGCTTTCCAAAAAAAAAATAGTGTAGTTAGATCTACACTACACAGAAGATGCAGAGAGATCATTTTTACTGTGTGCCTCTCCAAAACTATTTATTTTTGTTTATGATTTTGTATCATCCATGTTGTTCTTCTTCTGGGATTTTGCAATGGAATTTTATCTTCCTTAAGTTTTATTAATCTTGCCTAGATTCAAATTAATCTCTCCTGGGAGACAAAGTTGTGACTCCTGTTTCTTTGTCTAATTCCTCTATTGTCAAGCATTGGTGGCTTCCTTGCAGAACATGAAACGTTACTGCTTTTGAGGGTAACACTGCAAGACTTCCCCTAGGCAAATGAAACCCTTCTTTAGCATACAAACATATAAAATGTGTAGTAAATTCAATCCTTTCCTTAAAAAAAAGGAAGAAAAGTTATTTCAAGTTAGCAAAACAAACAAAAAATAAAAACAAAACCCATAAAAACCAAACAAACAAAAAAATCCCCAAATCCATGAAAAGGGGAGAAGCAGCAGGAAAGTTTTCATATTCTAGAAAAACACCTAGTAAGGCCATGGAATTATGCTGAGTAACTCCTCTCTCTCTAGTCTGTAGCACACCTTCCCTCACCTGGTGCAGGTGAGCCCAGCCTGGTCAGGAGCAGAAATCCAAACAGCACAGGGGTGGACAAGGCTGGCACAGCGTCCTTGTGCTGCCCATCAAGGTGTTTATGTATGTGATGATTAGAGAACAGCAAAGCAAAGCAAAACAAAATGAAAACGAGTGTCTGCTCCAGCCTCCTGATCATGAGGCTCCAGTGGGAAACCAGTCCTAGGGGAGTTTTCTAAAACCTTCCAACAGAGCAGATAAGTGAGAAGGCTTGCTCTCCAGCAGAAAAAAATGAATTCTCTAATTCTCGGCACACTTTCAGACAAGAAAAGTAGTGTGATTGATCATACTAAGCTCTGGGAATTTTACAGCATAACAAGTGATATGAAAATCAAGTTTTCTGGAGCAGCTGCGCCTAGAATGAGCCTTGTGAGGCTTTTATGAATAGGTGGAGGATAGACAGATTGAGCAGATTTTTTAAGTCCTTTTATTACACTCTTTCAATGAGTAATGCATTTGTGTATGTATCCAACATATTTGTGTATGCATCCAACTGATTTTTAAATATATTTTCCCGATGATAAATGTCATATTTAATTACCAATATTTTTTTTTAAGATTCAAGCACCAGGTCTTACTCTTAACTCTCTTTCCTATTTAGTTTATAGAGAATTCCAAGGGAGCCTGCTGGTACCTATGTGCCATGCCTAACACAGGAGATCTACCAGCACAGGCAGGGATTCCTGTTATTCTAATAATCATCAAAAAAAAAAATCATTTTATATGAGCTTTTGATAGGCAATGTGGAAAAAACACTTCTCAAGCAGTTGCACCATCTCTTTTTAATGTGTCAAACGTTTAATATCATGCTTTTAAATCTCCATTCCAGCAGCCAATGAGCTTTAGCACTGTTTGGAGTTGGAATTGGTTGTTTGATTTGGTTATTTGTTTGTTTGTTTTTATTTTTTCTTTTTTTTCTCAAACTGCTTGCTAGTAGAGTTTTTTTGGGATTTGAGGGTTTGGGCGTTTTGGGTTGTGGGTTTGTAGTTTTGGTTTTTTGTTTGTTTGTTTTTTTATTGACGTTTGGAGTATTTTTGTTGATTGGATGGTTTAGGGGGTTGTTTGGGGTTTGTTTGCCTGTTTTCTTGTTTAGTTCTGCTGTGGTCTGTTTCATTCCTTGAAGTCTCTCATCAGCAGGTTAGCCATACAGTGGCTTGTAGCAATCTCCTGTTGCAGCAAGGAGCAATTAATAACTGCAAGCACAGTTGTTTTGAGCTGTAAAAGAAATGTCAGCAATATTCAGTGTGATCAACATTGATTGCTCAGCTGGGAATCCCGATAAATCCTGAACTTGATTTTCTTCAGAGAAAGCCCCTTGCCCCTGGCCGTGTTACCCTGTGTAGCAACAGTTTGGATAATACTTATGGCCAGTACTCTCAGAACCACCGCTTTACCTTGATGGGAAACGAATATTTTGGGGTAGTTATTTACTTTGCCTTGGTACACGGCTGTTTCGGGCGTTCGCTGCTCATTAACTCCTAACGATCGGGTCCTTCAGCAACAAGCGAACTCCTCTTGCCTGCAGAACTACTCTTCCTGTTGTTTCTATTGAAAAAAAAAAAAAAAAAAAAAAAAAAAAAAAAAAAAAAAAAAAAAAAAAAAAAAAAAAAAAAAAAAACAAACCTTCCCCGTTTTCGTGGGGTTCGTATTTTCCTTTATTTTGCTTCTGTAATTCCAGCAACAGTTTGAAAGGAAAAATGGTAAAGCAGGGGGAAGACTGAAAATGGTTCGATAAATGTAGTGAAAAGTAGATTAATTGCAGAATAACAATTTCTTATGTGGTTATTTTTCACCACGGAGACGTAGGAGCCGCAGTCGTGGAAGGACAAAGTTTAAATAAAGTTTCGGTCCATGTTAAAGAACTAAAGAAAGGGACCCTAGTGTATAGCTGTTATATCTGATTGAACTTCCATTGGTAGGGATTTAGGAAAAGGTGGATTTGCTTCTATTGTTATTAATTAATCTGGTAATAGTAGTCAAGTAATGGGGTGTAGGCATGGAAAATATTAGAACAAAAAAACAAAAGGAAGGTTCTGAAACAGATGACCAGTTATGAAATACAGAAAAATAGGAACCATAGATCATCACTCTGGTAAATGTGTTTTTTAGCCACGGAGCAACTCGCAGACTCAGAGGATTTTAATTTCTTTAACTATCATAATAAATTCAGACGAGAAAAGAAGCGTGAGTCCTGCTGTCCAGACCATCAGTTCGTTGCCTGCACCTTCCCGGGAGCGGCAGTGGGGAGACCTAAGCTATGAAATGCACCCAGCAGGTCCCCTAAGCCTGACACCACCCTCTCCACAGCCTCGATTTTTTTTTCTTTTTTTTTCCTTCCCCAGAGCAAGGCGACTCCGTGAGACACCTCTCGCTACTTGACACTGATTGGAAACGGATTAAAAAGCGAGAGGAGAGGTCAAACGAGAAGTGTTTTCTAGATAACCACAGCGGCCGGAAAGCTTCGGGCGGCCGAGGAAAGCGTCTCCCCGCTTCCTCGGCTCCCGGCCGCGGCGCTCCCGGCTGGCAGCGAGCCCCGGCAGCCGCCCCGAGCCGCGGGGATTCGGCCCCCTGGGCTGGGGCATCCTTGCGCATCTGCCTCAGTTGCCCACGGAAAGACAAACGGAAGAGTGAGAAAAGGAAAGAAAAGCCCTTCTTGTCCAGTCGAAACAACTATCGTGCTTTTGTCCCCGCTGGGAAAATCGATGAGTTGCCATTCGCGCATGCAAGGGTGAATTTCGTAATGCGACGATTATGCTTTTATTTTTAAATTGTGTTCTTTATTTGTAAAATAAGAACCATCGATGCACTCTAGGAAATATCTTTCCTTTGGTACTACCTAGTAGTGACTATTGAAAAGGCAGGAGTTTCAACTTTCTGAAAAGGTTTATTTCCAACCTTAGGATATAAAGCATGTTAACTTAGAAACCAAAAGACCACAAAAGCGTTTGCAAATTTATATGTAGATAGATATCTTAAAAAAAATTAAAACCCCACTTCTTCACCCTAGGATAGCAGGTAAAACCGTTCCACGACATTTCGGAGGGCGGGATTAGCACAAGAGACAGCTTGTCTTGCTCTGTTAAAACACCACATGACCCCCAGTCTGAGAACCAGTTAGCACAAAACATGTAAGAGAGATCTTGGGATGTTTTCTCCGAAGGGGAAAAAAGTCACAGTTTAAGAACCAGATCCGAGGAAAGGTGTCTACAATTTGATAATGCAAAAGATGGGGAGAAGCTACTCAGAGGGATAATTAGAGGAGGAGAGTTGGAGATAGAGGAGCACAGAGCGGCCTTCGCCATTTACCAATCTCTATGAAACGTGACTCGGTTCACGGTAAAGCGGCCGCCACGGTGCTCGGGACAGACACGGGGACACAGTCCCCACGGACTGAGGCAGAGCACCGGCCCTCCTGTAACACCGGAACGGGATAATTTGGAAGGGCGGCAGGCAGAGCACGTCCCCGTTTCTTTGGTGGCTCCGTGTTATCTCCTCGGTCCTGACCGCCGAAAAAGCGCTGCAAGAGGGAGAGCGGGTTGGCACCGCCCTTCTGAGATCTAGCAACGTGTCGGCAGCCCACGGACACGCGTGGGGGGAGCCCGGGCAGCCCCTGCGTGGGCCGGGTGGTGGCTTTGGCGAAGACGGACACTCCACCTGCACAGCGGGGTCATAAATAAAATCGGGGCGGCCCCCGGCGAGGGAAGGTCGGAGGCCAGGGCTATACGTCCCCGTCCAGCAGGCTGAAGTGTTTACCCGGCCCGGGGAGGCAGAGGTAGGGGATGGCGCTGCCCGGGCAGAGCAGGGGGAAAGGCAGCGGCAGCAAGCAGCGGCTGAGCAGGGGGCTGTCCTTGTAGAGGGACGGGAAGGAGAGAGCCGAGGCGGCAGTGGGGGGCTGCGGCTCCCCGGGGGGCTCTGCCGGCCCCGGCCCCTGGCCCTCGGGCTCGGATGACATTTGTCTCTTGAGCTTGTTGCGGCGGTTCTGGAACCAGATCTTCACCTGGGTCTCGGTGAGGTGCAGCGCGGCGGCCAGCCCGGCCCGCTCGGAGCTGCTCAGGTAGCGCTTCACGTCGAAGGTGGACTCCAGCTGGAACACCTGGCTCTTGGAGAAGATGGTCCGTGTCTTCTTCCTGCCGCCCGCCGCCGATGATCTGCCGTTCTCTCCAGAGCCCCCGGCCTCTCGCGGCGGCGGCTGCCGGGGACCGCGTGGCCCCTCCGCGGGGAGCGGGGACCCCGCATCGCCGCCCTCGGGGCGGAGGCCGCGGCTCGTCCCTTCTGCCCCAAGCCGGCGGGGCTCGCTGCCTGCAAGGGCAAAGCACAGCATCAGTCCCCGCCGCAGCCCGCGCCCCCACCCCGCATGCACGCACGGCCCGGCGGAGCGCAGGGAGAGGGTGGGGGACAGGATGGGGAGGGGGCTGCCGAGGGCTGGCCGCGGTCCCACACCCTCCAGAGGGAAGAAGAAGGGTGAGGTGCTTCCATAAGGATCCGCGGAAATCCCTCTGCCAGCTGTATGCCAGGAAAGCGAGGGGCTCCCTGGCACGGGACAGGCAGCCGCAGGAGGCCGGGAGGGGGGCACAACGCCCTGGAAGCAGGTTGGTGCGTGTGCGGCATCTCCCCGCGTCCGCCCGTGGAGCCTCCCCTCCTCCCGCGTGTCCGTGTGTGTCTGAGTCTGTGTTCGCGTGTGTCTGTATTTGTGTGTGCGCGTCTGTGTCCGTGCCTGCGTCCGTATCTGTGTCTGTGCTCGTGTTTGTGTCCGTGTCCGTGTCCGTGTCCGTGTCCGTGTCCGTGTCTGTGTGTGTGTGTGCTGGCCCGGCCCGGCCCGGCCCGGCGGCACTGGGGGTGCCCAGGTACCCCCTGGGTGGGGGCCGGACTGCGACCCGACGTGCGGGACAGCCTGAGGCGGCTGCTGGCTCCGTACCCGAGTCGCTGGAGCCTTTACTGGGGTCTTGCTCCTCAGGCCCCTCTCCCTCCTCTTCCTCCTCCTCCTCCTCCTCCGGCAGCGCGCAGCAGGCTCTGCCCTGCTCCCTGGCCGGGCGGCGGGGCCCGGGCTGCAGGATGCTGTCGATGCTGAAGGCCGGCGGCGCTGCCGGGGCCGGAGGGACGCGGCCGCCGCCCCCGAGCTGCACCATGGCGCGGCGAGCCGAGCGTGTCCGGGCCGGGCGTGTCCGGGCCGGGGGTATCCGAACCGGGCGTGTCCGAACCGGGCGTGTCCGGGCCGAGGGTGTCCAGTCCGGGAGTGTCGCCGAACCGCGCCGAGCCGAGCCGAGCCGAGCCGCGGGACTGGCGGCGGCGGCGGGAGAGCGGCAGCGGCAGCCGGGCGGAGGGAAGGATGGGTCCGCGAAGGAGGAGGGGTCGCGGTGACGGAGGGAGGGGATGGAGCTAGAGGGAGCCAAAGCACTGAGGACGGGGGGAGCGGTGCAAGGGAGGGAAGACTGCAGAGAGGAGAGGGAGAAGGAAAAGGAGCAGGGACTAGAGGGAAGCGGGGAGGGAGGGAGGGAGGGAGGGGCGAGGAGCCGAGGGGTCCCGAAAGGGTGCCCCGGGCAGCCGCGGCAGGGCAGGGCTCGCTGCCCGCCTGCCCAGGCCCTTCTGCAAGTGGGCGGAGGGAAGGCAGAGCCAGAGCGCACGGAGAAGGCGAAAAGGAGGTGGGATGGCAGAAGGGAGATCTCTGGATTGAAGGAGAAGAATGGAGGGAGAAGACGGGGAAGATGGGAATGAGGAGTCCAGTGAGGAAAAGCAGAGATGGAAATCAGAGAGGGAAGGAGGGAAGGAAGGAGGGAAGGAGGGAAGGAGGGAAGGAGGGAAGGAGGGAAGGAAGGA